AAAACAGAAAACAAACGGATGGACTCAAATTACGTATCAAGAGTCATATATACGAGAATTTGTGAAAATTAATAAATGACCTTGAGAATATTTCCGGTGAAGAGGATGGTTTTGTTCTTGGGAACTCTTCCGTCTTCTCTCATTATGGCCGGCCAATCTTCGCCTGCAACTCCTCTTTGACTCGTCAAACTCCCCTACTACGTGAAACCTGTTTTCGTATAATTCAATTTCATTTTAAATTAAAATTTGAAAAATTAAATATAATAGAAGAAAAAAAAAAGGAAAAATGAAATATGTCGAGTAGATTGGGCCTTGGTGGTTGGCACATGATAATGTTGCTCAACAATATTACGATTACCGATAACGTCAACAAATTAATTAAAAACGTGAATTAATTAATAATTGTTTTACCATTTCTCAATTACTTATGTTGTGATAGTTTTTAATTTTGTTTTTTTAATTCGTGTTTTGCTTGATTTTTACGGTGTTTAGCGTTTCACTTTTTATTAACTAATGGCATTACTAGTTAAATTGATTATTCAAGCATATCTCATAATTTTGCGGAAAACAAAAAAGACCTGCTGCACTGTTGACAGAAGCGCTGTTCGGTCCCGAGAATCACCACTCGCGGGGCCTTCGCGTGCATCTCGCACACCCTGTGCCGCCGGTGGTACTCCTTGGCGTTCGCCAGCGCCGACCCGCACCCCTCCACCTGGCACTGCGGCACAACCGCCGCCGCCGCCACCTCAGCTCCCCCGCTCCACGCCTTCCCCTTCTTCGCGGCGGAGGACGACCTCTCCGCCGCCGCGGGCTGCGGCGCACCGGCGGCGCCCTCGTAGTACTGCCTCTTGCCCAGCTTCAGGCACGTCAGTTGCGGATCGGCTGGGACCGCCGGTTGAACGGCGCCGCCGCCGCCGCCCGGCGCGCAGCTGAGCGGGCCGTGATGGGCGTAGCTATAGTACCCGGATGATTCCCATGCATGGGTGGTCCAATTACCGTTATGCCCTTCGAAGGGATGATCTGTACTGGTGCTGCTGCCTCTTGTACTGTTCTTGAAAAGGGTCCAATAGTACTCCATCTTTTTTCTTTTTTTTTTTTTTTTTTTTTTCTCCCAACTTTCAGTGTGTGTTTGTGTGTGTGTTTTGGGGTACTTATAAAGAAAGTGGGCAGATTTAGTTAAGGAAAGTTACTGGTACAAATGGAGAAAAGAGGAAAGTGCTGTTGTTGTTGGGATTTTGTGGTTTCTTGTATTTGCAATAAAAAAGTTTTGAAATAAATAAAATATTAATTGGGAGAAGTTAAAAAAAAAAAAAAAAAAA